TATATAAATAAACAAATAAATGAATAAATTCCAATACAATTGTTATTGGATGGATGGATGGACGGATATATCATTTATGGCTATATATTTTGCAAGCAGGTCCAGAGTTGGGGGCATGCAAGCATAACCCATCAATCTGCAGGGTGCCAGGCGAAGTAAGGCTGTTCCATGCCAGCCAGTGCCCCTGCTCCCGCCCCACTCTGACCCTGGGCTCCCCTGGGCACACTCACCTGGGGCACAGTTGTCCACCAGAGCGCCCAGCGCCTTGCCATCCTGCCAGTCACGGTTGAAGTTGGTGATGGGGAGTTGTGGCACCTTGTTCTGGATCCACCCGAGCAGGCGCTGCTTCGGCGTCTGCTTCTTGGCATCCTCTTCATCCTCGTCTTCCCACATGGGCATGGAGATGGAGTAATGGAGGATGAGGGTCCATATCAGGCCCAGGATCAGCTTCAGGTTGCCGTCCACAATGGCTTTGCTGTCTGCAGGGGAAGAAACAGAAGGGGGACCGGTGAGGCGAGGTGCGGGGCCCACCTGAAGGAAGGGCTCCCCAGGAGCCAGCTGCCAGCCCCCCAGGCTGCCCGCCTGCCCGGATGGCCTGCAGTGAAGGGGCTACTGCTTCAAGGGCACATTCGTCATGCCACAAGCCCAATCCTTGTTCGGGGGAGGCAATTCATCGGAGAAGCTGTGTGACCCAGAGAGCAGGATGCAAGCCTTTGAGTCACACAGAAACCTTCCTCTGTCTGCAGACGGAGGAAAGTTTCTGTGTGACTCAAAAGCTTGCACGCCAAGAAGCTTGGCCTTAGGCTAATTGGGAATGTCATTCTTCCTCTCCTTTGAGAGGTGGGGAGAGGCCTGAAGGAAAGGGGACAGGGAAGTCCCCCCAATCTCTATGGGCTGCTGTTTGGCATCCCTCCAGCCAGCCCCAGAGCCTCTCCTCCCCATAACCCTGACTTTGCAAAATGATCACCGCTGAGATGCCCGGAGCCAGCAGGGGGACCCAGAGGTGGGCGTGGGCAGGTGAACGAAGGGGGCGTGGCCAGACCCAACCCCCACCCCATTTTGGTGGGGAGGGAATTCAGCTCCAATTCCACAAATCAAACCCAGTTGGTTTGATGACTCCCCACGTGGTTCATAACCTTCTGCCCGATTCAACCTGAGAGATCCACTTTGGGAGGGAGAAATGCTGAAATTCCCACAATGGAAGAATGGATGGTGAAGAGGGCAGAACCGGCAGAAGTGGCGAAACTGACCTGGTTGGCCAGGGATAAATCGATCGGTACTTTTTTAAAAAGACTGGAAACCTTTTATGGACTTTTTTTTTTCTGAAAGAGAAAAGTGAAGTAATGATTTATGAATTTGATGACTGAAAAAAAAAATTAGGGGCTGGAGGGAATTCTGTAACGCTAAGGAGGGAGGTTGGATAACGACTTTGTTGATTGCTGGTGCAAAGAAGGTCAGAAGTCCCTTACTTTTTCTGATTTTGGTTTTTTCAGTTAATTTTCTCTCTTGCTTGCTCGCTTTTTACACTTCCTCTTTTCTTCCTCTTTTCCTTTTTTTTTTTAAGAGTTGTTTTTTAGGGTTTGAAAAAAATCTCAATAACAATTTTATAAAATCCCCTCTCACCCCTTTGGGTGGTCCGTGTCTTCCTCCGTCTCAGGTCCTTCGCCGGAGGCCTGGGAGTTGGAGGGTCCTGTGCGGCAGAGTTCCCCAGCCTCAGCCACTTTAAGATGGGTGGACTTCAGCTCCCAGAATTCCCCAGGCTGGGGGATTCTGGGAGCTGAAGTCCACCCATCTTAAAGTGGCTGAGGCTTGGGGAAACTGTCGCCCAGGGCCCTCCCAACCCCCAGCCCCCGG